CAATAATGGGTCTTGTATACTTTTGGGCTTTTTGGATAAAGAATTGGGTCTGGGTTTTGGTCCAATTGGGGAAAGGGTAAAGCGGCCATTTACCCTAAGTATGGGTTATTAGTAAAGGATGGTAATCTAATTATTAATTGGATGTTTGTTTGTTGTTATAGTTCGAGGATTTTAGTGGGCCAGCAGCTGGAGGTTTTCTGTACGATTCGTCAGTGTGAGGTGAGTTGTCCTCACTACACTCTCTGGTCGAAGGCACCAATACCGACCCTTTTGGATTGTTATCCTGGTTTATTGTATGTTTGTTATGTTGTAGTGATATGTTAGATTGACATTCTGGTAGATAGGATGTGCTATGTTATAGTGATCTTCTAGACTTGTATGACTGGCTGTATATGCTAGCTATGTTGATTATGTTATATGTGGATATGTGACGGTTGGTTGGGTTGAGGCGGTCCTGCTGTGTGTAGAAGGCAACAGACCCACGGCGGCCCGGATAGACTGAAGGCCTGTGAGGCGGACCAGTCAGGCGGAAGGCCCTTGAGAACGGTCCAGACAAGCTGAAGGCCCAGTGCGGCGGTCCAAACATGCTGAAGGTTCTGTATGCATGATGTTGCTGTGATATGTATAATTATGTGTTGTGGTAGTATTTTGGGGAAACTCACTAAGCGTTGGGCTTACAGTTTTGGGTTATGTTTCAGGTACCTCAGATGATCATGGGAAGGAAAAAGCTTGACCGTGCACCTCCTCATGTTACGTTTTGTGATTTTGGAAAAACTCTGATGTTAAACATGTTTTGAAAACTACAATGTAAACAATTATGATTTTGGTTGGTTTGAAAAAGTTTAAATTTTTATGAAATTTTATGAATGTTACAAGTTGATATCAGAGCATTGGTTTGAGTGAATTGGAGGAACACTCGTGTGAATCCAATTTCAAACCATAGAAAAAGATTTTTTAAACTAATTTTCAAATGGTTTTCAAAATAATAGAGGAGGATGCAAGGTGTACGATCAGCCAGAGCCATATAATCTATGATGCACATCAGAAAAGTGATGATGTTAAAATTTCAACCTACGTTACTTTTCTTTAGCAGTAGTTCCAAAATAACATACTACATAAAAGTTTCGGTTTTATAAGTTTTCTTTACCACTTGTTCCTAAAGCACATATGTTATAAAAATTTGACTTTTAAAGGATGCTTTAGTGGCGTAAGGGTTGGCATTAATACAGAAAGATTCCGAGTATGAAAAACACATGTCATAAAAGTTTGAGTTTTAAAGGATGATTTATTGGCGTAGACCTTGACACTAATACATAAAGATTCTGAGATGCATGTTGGTGCCAGTGTTGAGGGTTTAGATTGGTGTCCCAAACTTGACCAAAATTTTAGCACAACAAAAACCGGAAGCCCCAGGGATAAGAAGTCCATGAAAAATCAAAAGAAACAATTAGGCGAACAGAAACCCTAACATAGAAACCGGAAGGCCCAAGAAAATGATACGACTTCGGTTAAAACCCTCGCTGAAACCTGTGTGGAAGCTATATGAATAAAAAGATGAAATATAGATAATATGTTCGAGTAGAATAAACTGTTGAGAATAATTGTACAATGTGTATCATAAAGTGTACTATTAACTACAGTGATTCTACAACGCTAAACATGAGTTACATTTTATAAATATTTATAATATGTTATATAAATTAGTTGAGTTTTACATAAATAAATTACAATAATATGAAATTACCAAGTCATGAATGCAAAATTCTCACCAACAAAACACAAAACACAATTTCACATCGCATAAATGATAAATCCAACACGCGCGTGGACACTCGCACAAACACAATCGCATTGCATAAATCGTGTTTTCTTCTCATTTGGTTCAATTTTATATTTATTCCCCATTTGACATCCACTGAGATCGCCGGAGGAGACCTCGCGACGGCGAATCTTTATTAATTTGCGGTAGGGTTCCGCTTCAATTTATAATTTCCATTTGTAGGGTTTAGCCGGTTGACATGGCGTCGGAGGATGTAGTAGGGAAGACCAGCGCTACGATCGCTAATCTCGCCGAAGAAGCAAAGATTGCCAGTGAAGGTGTCAAGGCTCCCAGCCGCCACGCTTTACTCAGCATCTGCAAGTCTCTTGTGGCCGGCGGCGTCGCCGGTGGAGTGTTAGTTCTTTCATCTCTGTCCTTCCTTTTAATCGATCAATCTATCCGTCACTGATCTCATTCATGTCACTTTCGATGTTTTTGAGTAATTTTACAGTATACATACATTGTGTTTTGAGCTGATTAATTAGTATTTGGCAATAGATTTGTATCTCTACATTCGATATATATCTCTATCAATAAACTTCTTACCTAACACTTTTTCTCCCCTTTTGAATCATGAGAACTGATTGAAATATGGGACTCTTTAATCTACAAAAACAGAAACATGAGACTATTAAAGATTGCCAAAATCGAAAATTTGATCTATAATTGCCAAAATCCACAGAAATTTAACTTTGACTGCATGGGTTACAACTCAGTTTGGATTTGTTCTTAGGGTTTGGCCGTCGTCCTATTCTGAATATTAGATTTACTTAGACCCAATCGAACAATGAAATGTTTGAACCCTGGTAAACGTATCCATGATTCACTTCTTCTATACAAACCGTGACTGCAATTGATGTTGTTAGAACTTAGAAGAGTCTAGCGAGGTAGCTTGAACACAGAAGGTAAGACGAGCATGTGATTTTGGCATAAGTCATAATCAATAGTCTTTCAAATTAAAGTGTTGTGATATAAGAAGATGTATCACCCCTACTATAATCAGCCAGACAGCCATAAGAAAGAAAGAATCAAGATAATAATAAGACTATGAATTTATGATATAGATTAATATGATTATTCATTATGATTTGGTTATGTTGCAGATCAAGAACTGCTGTTGCTCCTCTAGAACGATTGAAAATTCTGCTCCAGGTTCAAAACCCTCACGCGATCAAATATAATGGTACAATCCAAGGGTTGAAATATATATGGAGAACAGAGGGTTTTCGTGGGCTGTTTAAAGGAAATGGCACTAATTGTGCTAGAATTGTTCCTAACTCTGCTGTTAAGTTCTTTAGCTATGAGGAGGCCTCAAAGTATGTCATCTCATTTTCCTTTTTTTTTTTTCCTTTTTCTTTTTCTATTTTAACATGCTAAGTATTAAGTAACACATCGTGATATGATAAACAGGGGAATTTTGTATCTGTATCGGCAGCAACCTGGAAATGGTACTTCAGATTGCAATCTTTTCTAACTATTATTTATCTATTGGTATTTACTATTTAGTATTTACACTTGAAAACTAACTACAATATCAATAATAATATTTTGTTTTCCAGAGGATGCTGAACTCACCCCTCTCTTACGTCTTGGAGCCGGTGCGTGTGCTGGAATAATTGCCATGTCAGCAACCTACCCCATGGACTTGGTTCGTGGTCGCCTTACAGTCCAGGTATTTATTATTATTTTCAATATCTTTTTTTCTTTTTCTATTTTCTCCTCAACTAATTTTACTAATTTTGCATGCAGACCGATACATCTCCAAGTCAGTATCGAGGAATCGCACATGCTCTTAGAACAGTACTACGTGAAGAAGGTCCACGCGCATTATACAAAGGCTGGCTTCCTTCTGTCATCGGTGTCGTAAGTCAAACTCAAAACTCAAATACAACATGATAATAATAATAGTAATAATAATAGGGTTTTGACTTTTGAAGGGTAATTGTGTCTTTTTGTGTTGTAGGTCCCGTATGTGGGTCTTAATTTTGCGGTGTATGAGTCTTTAAAAGACTGGTTGGTTAAGTCGAGACCATTTGGGTTAGTTGAGGGCACGGAGCTGAGTGTGACCACAAAGCTTGCATGTGGGGCTGCAGCTGGGACGGTTGGTCAAACGGTTGCTTACCCGCTTGATGTGATCCGTAGAAGAATGCAAATGGTTGGTTGGAAAGATGCGGCTTCGGTTGTTACTGCAGATGGAAAGTCAGCACTTGAGTACACTGGAATGGTTGATGCCTTTAGGAAAACTGTTCGCTATGAAGGTTTTGGAGCCTTGTACAAGGGCCTCGTTCCTAACTCGGTCAAGGTTAGTTTCGTCATTTTCATTGCTATAAAATTATGAACAAGCCAAAGGTTAGTTTGGTCATTTTTGTATTTGGTTTGTGTGGCAGGTGGTTCCTTCGATAGCGATTGCGTTTGTGTCCTACGAGGTTGTTAAGGATCTACTTGGAGTAGAGATGAGGATATCTGATTGAGGAAAAAAAAAGGAAAAGAAAAGAAAAGATGATAATAATGTTGGAGAATTGGTGTTATTTTTGCGAGCAGAAGGAAGGGGTAGGATTTTTGTTCTCTTCTCTCTCTCTTTGACTCTTTGTTATTCAATGAAGAGATGTAGAAGTTGTTAGTGTTGATAGAGTGGTCGACCACTGTGAGTACCCAATTCTGCTGTGCTGTGCTCTGGTTTTTTGGTGTTTGTCATTCATAATTACACCAACACCTGGCACCCAATAAGGATATTTATTTGCTACACGAGTTGTTTGTTTAATTTTATTAGTATTATTTATGATCATGGATTTTTGCCTTTTATTTGAATCATGTTGGTTGTTCTATTTGAGGTTTTTATAGCGTTTTTGACTCATGTAAAACGAGTATATTTTTGGACCAAAACTGCAGAAAAAAACTCAAAAATCTATATATAGGACCAAAAAGGTCGGTTAATTAGAAGAAAGACTAAAAACGTTACAGTAAGTAACCTCATATAATTTGGGATGAAATTTGAAAAAATCGACTTCACTCACAGGACCAAAAATGTAATCTATTACTAGTCTTTGATTTATCTGGAGAAGTCGAGTCATAGATAGATTCATAGATATGTTTCAAAAACATTTGGAATTCTCTATGTTGGTTATTGATTCCTATAAGGCCACACCACACAGTACACATGCAATTAAATTTTTACAAACAAAGTGGATGAAACTTTTTATAAACAAAATGAACAACACAAGGGGAGGGGTTGGGTTATAAACATCATATATGTATGTATACATGAAGTAAATCCGGTCTGGTTATTCTGTTACCAGAAAAAACCGGTGTCTAGTTTCTATGAAGAAGCTAGTTGGGGTGGGATTCAAATTTTAAGGACTAACCTGGTCCAATCAACGTACACATCAAACTAAACCGGTCTGTGGTTTCTAGCGAGGAGATCGGAAAGCGATTTAGTGAGAAAATCAGCTCGACTCCGGTGATAATCAGTCCACACACACAAATGCCTGATTGCTTCCCTTTTCTCCTCTTTGAGAACAATTATAGTTTCATGATTCTCCTTCACAGTCTTCTCCAAATCCCTTAATTTAGTGTCCAACTTCAAGACTTTTTGCCTGGATCGAAGCACCTCCTCTTCTTTACCATCCAATTCCACCACAACTGCATCCAAATCCTCCTTCAACTGAACCATGGCCACATTCTTTCTTCTCACCCAATCCTTGGCAGAGTTTATCTCACACGATACCTTGGACACACGATTCATGAAAGTCTCACAGCATTCCACGAATCGGAGCCCTAGAGCCTCCGTCACCTTCAATGTCTCGTTCACCATCGTCATCAGGACCTTGATTGTGCGAACGTTGGTGTCGCTGTCCATTTTGTCTTGCTCGTATTTATCTTTTGTTTTTTTGCACCACTCTCGCGTTTCGTTTTGAAGCTGTTCGGCCACATGGATTCTTCGGCTCAAAATAAGGATGTTATCCTCGGAACACTTCCGGAATTCGGTCATCATATCTCCCATTTTCTTCACCGCTGCCCGGAAAGTTGATTTCACCTCCTCGTTTATTTTATCGGCCTGCATGTCTTTTTGCTCCAGTGTCACCGCCAACACGTCGTTCTTTACTTCCAGTTCCTTTTTGTCCATCTCCATGGATCTGAATTTGTGCTCCAGCGTTTTCACCTTGTTTGATAGTTCCTTCTTAACTCCCTCCGATTTTGTTTCCAGATTAGTAATCTGAGTCTCTTTCGCTTGGAGTTTTTTCTCCAGTTGAGAAATTGTACTTTTTTGTTTCTCATTTTCACCGTTCAATCGAGAAATTGTAGCCTTTTGCTTCTCAGTATCACCGTTTAGTTGAGAATTTGTAGCTTTTTGCTTCTCATGTTCGTCCATTAATTGAGAAATTGCAGCTTTTTGCTTCTCAAGTTGGTCGTTAGAGTGAAGAATTGTGGCTTTCTGCTTCTCATTTTCGTTGTTGAGTTGAGAAATTGTAGCTTTTTGCTTCTCATGTTGGGCGTTTAATTGAGAAATTGTAGTTTTCTGCTTCTCACTTTCGTCGCTGAGTTGAGAAATTGTAGCCTTTTGCTTCTCATGCTGGTCGTTTAATTGAAGAATTGTACTTTTCTGCCTCTCATTTTCGTTGTCGAGTTTAGAGATTGTAGCTTTTTGATTCTCATGTTGGGAGTTTAATTGAGAAATTGTGGATTTCTGCTTCTCATTTTCGTTGTTGAGTTGAGCAATCCTAGTTTTATGCTTCTCATTTTCGTGGTTTAATTGAGAAATCGTAGCTTGTTGTTTCTCATTTTCGTCGTTTAGTTGAGAAATCGTAGTTTGTTGTTTTTCGTTTTCGACGTTTATCCTTGCAATCATGACAGAGGAATCGTTTACTTGCTGTTTCAAATCCTCTTGGTTGAAGCTCGTTTGCTGTAATTTCTCTGATAATTTTTCCACCACCTCAAGGGAATCCGCAGCTTCTTTGCTCTTTTTCTTAAGCTCACTTTCTGATTCTTTATTCCGTATACTCAATGACTCGACTTCCTTTTCTTTTTCGTATAATTTTTTTCGAACGTCAACGTTCTGAGATCGTAAAGATTCCACTTCCATTTGCATATTTTGCAACCGATCCATGGATTGGACGATTTTGCCCTTGAAAATATTTTCAAACTCATCTACAACCTTTTCAGTCTTTTCCTTTATCTCCATTTCTGTTTCTTGTTTCTGAATCCTCAAACTCTGGACATCCTTTTCATTTTCATGCAGAAACTTTTTACGAGCTTCATTATTCTGATGCCTTAAGGAATCCAGTTCCATTTGCATATTTTTGACGCGTTCCATGGATTGGACGATTTTACCCTTGAGCTCCATTTCTGATGCTTGATTCTGAATCCTCAAAGATTCGACTTCTTTTTCCTTTTCATACAACAACTTTTTTCGATCTTCATCATTTCCAGACCTTAACAAATCCAATTCCTTTCTTACATTTTGTACACGACCCATGGATTCATCGATTTTACACTTGAGAATCTTCTCACACTCATCAAGTTTCATCAAAACATCACTTGCCTTCTCTTTGAATGCAGCAGATTCAATCTGAAATCCCATGTTTTTGTTTTTGTCTTTTCTTTTATGAAGTTCATCATGTCTACCCTTGCACTCTCCTTCCCGTTCCTGATGATTTAATTCCTCAATCTCATGCTTCAAAGCAACAACTTTATCTTCAAGCTCTTTCATCCTTCTAGATGATTTGTTTTCTAGATTCTGATATTTGTTCTCCTTTTCACCCAATTTATCTCTTAAATCACCATTTTCTTTCATGAGCTTCTCTACTTCTCTACCACTTTCTTCTTCCTCTCTTTCTTCTGGTTTATATGAACTCCAAACAGGTTCAACACTTAATGTTTCTTTTACAACTTCACTCACATCTTCTAAAGAATAACATGAATTCTCAGATTTCATACTTTGAGCATCTGTTGTTGTTGCTGCCGCCTTTGGAATATTATCAAGACTTGGTGTTTTTGATCCACTACCTGGGGAAAAATATCCTGCTGATTCCATGCTTAATGAATTTGATGATGAAGAAGTGGAAGACTCGTTGTCTTCTTTATCTTCTTCGTTGTTGCATTTTTTCTTTACACCTTTTAAATCTTCGTACATAGCACACATTGATTGGTACTGATTGTGAAAATCTTCAATGAGGTCAAGAGCTTCAGTACTTTTCGTTTGGTTTACTTCTCTGTTTCCAAAAATACCCTTGATGAGCTTCACGATTCTCGTCACTTTAGTATCAGTTTCTGCATATGAAACAAAAAAAAAAAGAGGTCTTTTGATAAACGAAAAATGTTTTGATTTTGAATCATCTGACAACTGAACATGATGCATAGCAATGCCTATACAAGAATCATATAAAAAAAACTATCAACATATAAGATGCGTGATAATCATGCATCAACTACTTTATGATAATTTCCAAATGTATTATGTTTAACAAAACTAAGGTGTAATATCCATTAAAAGGGATCATTCCTATTTCCTAGTAGGGTTTCTATAAAAATATTCTAAGCATCATCGTTTTGGATGTAGATAATTACCTATTATGGTCCATTTCAGCTGTTCTTCTTTTGCTGGATCAACATGATCCTGAAACAAATTCATTGACCCATTCCATCTAAACTTAATCATTCCTATGCCCCAGGGAAACCCCTCTCAAGCAGAAGCAAGAAACTAGAATCTGAAAAATTCAGAATATAAAAAAGTTTAAGATAAAATCCCTTCAATTCGGGAGTAAAAAATTTTGGATTTTGAAAAAAACGGCCATTGTTGACATTTACCTAAGCTACTTAGATGAAAATCGAAAGGTAACAACAAAACAGTGAAAATTGGTTCACTCTTGCAGATTAACTTGAATTAACTTGCTTATCTTTAATAAAGCCATACAAACCTAAATTATCCAAATCCAAGTAAAAACGAAGACCAATAATCAACGATGACACCATATCATGTAAGAATAAGAAATACACATTGTACGCTTTTGCGTCTCTCTATCTCTCGTAGGTAAGTAATCATATAAAAATAATGTCTCAGCAACAAAATTTAGGCTAAGAACACGATCGGAAATGAGTCTATTATTCTAATTTTTCTCATCAACAAAACATTGCGTATCACAGACGCATTACGTTTGCATTAGAGATGCGCAAAGTAGATATACGTTTGCATTAGAGATGCATGCAATTACGAACCTAAGGAAACACAATGCAAATACATGATTATAAACAATAAATTTCAGCATTCGGATTTCTTCTAACAGATTCCATGAAGAACACAGGTAAATAGCAAATATCTTATGCAAATCGGAGTTACAGGAACGAAAAATGAAAATTGAACGCATAATTTGTAGATAAAATTACCTGGGATTGGAATTGGGAGGGAGAAAAACGAAGAACATCCATTTGCAAAGGAAATTAGAGAGTGAAAATTTTGATTGAGATTACGTTCCTTCGATCACCAAATCCAACAACGTCACATTTGGTTGATCAATAAAACTGGTGAACGCGGAAAATGGGCGCACGTTACAGTGTGGTACGCATAAATGCCCGTTAAGTTTCAGTTTTTATTACATATTTATTCTATTTTTAAAATATTTTGATATGTAATTTAATGAAATGTTTTAACTGTTTACAATATTTTGAGTAAATTACACGAATCGTCCATCGGGGCAAGTGTCAAAATGCTCGTTCAGTCCCTATTTTCAAAAATTCACTCGGACTGTCCCTCATATCGTAAAAAGTTTCACGCTCCACCCCTCGTTAGTTTAAATTTGCACGTTTCATCCCTTATGGGACAAGAAATGACTATAATGCCCTTTTTAATTTATTTTTTCATTTACTTTTTACATTTATTATTATTATTATTATTAAAAAAATATTTTTATCAGGATCTCTCTGCAATACCAAAAAAATCTCTCTCTCTCTCATGTTGAAGAACACTTAATCACCACCACCATACCAAAAATCTAGACCACCCACCACCGGAAATATGCAAAACTACCACCTGCAATATACCGCCAGTCGCCATCATTTTCCACCTCTAGAAACCACCGTCACTAACCACCAGCAAACCACCACCACTAACCAGTGACATCAAATCCAAATGAAATTCAAATCTCAAATAAATCAAAATCAAAATCAAAACAAAACCTACAAATCGAACCTTAAACTTAAATTCGAAAATCAGACAAGAAACAAAACCTTCAAATCTATTGAAACCATCACACTTAACCACCACCATAATCGGTAATCTGCACCACTACTGAAAATAGAGCACCACCTCCACCCCTCGCCCTCTACCCTTACCTCACCTGTTGTACTGTGTCTATCGTCGTCCCCATCACAGTCGACACAATCAAACTTTACACCACATGTCATAACCATTCGACAGTCTGCACCAACCTTCATTTATCAGAGCTAATTCAAACACTAAGATCCAGTAAATGCATCGGTAATAAGAGAGCAGATTCCTCCCATATAAATCATCAAGTTTTGAAACCCTATTAAAGAATCAACTTCTGGAAATCCGATTGAAGCATTGAAAACAAATAAGGGATGTTCTTTTTTCGTATGCGGTGTGCTGGAAACTCGAGTAAAGCATCAAATTCTGAAACCATTGACTTTTCGGATTTTTCTTGATTCAATTCTAGTGGGGGTCGATTTGGGATTTTTATGAAACCAAAACCTTCAATACTATTGAAACCATCATTTTCAGTATGAAATCGAGAAGGAGATGGGCGACGATGATGCACCAGGAACCTGCAAAGCTCGTTCCGGCATGAGTGTCTTGGATAAATTCGATTTTAGATGGTGAAGGTTTCCAGATCGGAATCTAGAGTCGGATGGTAGCCGAAGGTGGAAGTAGAACCTTCAGTTTCATGATCTTACCAGAGTGGCTTCAGGGCTGCCGGTGAACATATTAGGGGGTGGTGGTGAGAGGTTCATGGTCGCCGGAGGGGAGGTTGTTTGATCGATGGAGATGAAGACGGATGGGTGTGAATAAGATGGATACAAATCTGGGGAAAGGGAGGGATGGGTAGGTTTGTGTTA